CTCTGAGAACATGTCAAATTAAATAGATCAAGTTCCCCTAACAGGCTCATACAATTAGTCCATAGTCTCCACCTATTCAATAACGCTGCGATCTAGAAATTTCTTCTCTGCCTTACCGACATTATCGACCATCTGGCAACGTTGCTGAGCCACACATAGGTGCAAGCTTGTAGCGTTGCTATGCGACCGATATGCGAGGCTTCTGTTGAAAATATTTTTCTTAAAGGCAAATCTACGGAGAAACATACAGTGCTTTCCTCTAATGTCCACCTCCCCTTTGATTATTTGAACGGATCAATTCAAAAAATTAAATCTTAAGGTAATGAAATTGATGCGCGGACACCATATTTTAGAGTAAAGTTGACAGATGAAAATGTCAGGACGGCCGCTGCACATAACAACCGTATTTTTGGTTTTTTAAGTTTTTGGAAGCAACAGTAAAGCCATGCCAAGTAACATTACTGCTTGTATTTTGGACGACGGATAATGGAAAACTGTCTTCTGTTTTTATAATTATCGATTTATTTGTATCCAGAAAAAATTGGACTTCAAGATACAAAAAGTCTTTGTTTTATCCCCTTGACAGCCTGTATACGAACGTCCCTGTCTCAATCGCCGCAGTGCTCCGGGCCCGGATTATTGCCGACGACCCACCGAGAAGGGGACTGTGCCGCTACGGCAGCGGTTGATGCTTTGCTCCCTCTTTGTTGTGTCAGTCGGCGAAGCCAGAAAAAAGAGAGGAAGCTTCAGCAGTATTGCGGGTTTTCCCAAACCGCAGCTGCTTATATGCCGCTGATAATGATCCCGTGTCGTTGTAGCATCATTAAAATGACGTCAAGTACTCTATGTTTCCCACGCAACACTGTCATCAGCACGGACATGTATAAGCAAAAAATTAGATTGATGAAGTCAGCTAAACGAGCCCGTAAGATTAGTCCATAGTATATACACATTTGATAAACACTATGAATTTCTTTCCTGTCCTACCGAAAGTGACGACCATCTGGCAACGATGCTGAACCACGCCAGTCGAACATGACTCGGCGCTACCAGACGTATGATAATTATTGTTTTAATATGCTAATTTTAAATACGGTACGATTTGCGATACTACGTGTAGCATAATACATAAATCGATAATTTTCTGTGAGCTTTTTTCACTCTCAGATGTTGATATGTGTTCGATGAATCCTATCTCGCATCATTCTCAATAGAAGCTGCATATGATCTAACTCGATCGTTTCGTTCACGTTTACACATCACTACCTTTCTTCCCTCAAATTGGTTGCATATTCTTCAAATATTATTACGTCTGACCCTTTCCTCCTACCATTTTTTGGCCATGCTCCTTAGGCTAGCGCGCGCAACCCCTCCCGTTTCCCTGTCATGGGTTTCAGGTGTTAACATTATGATAATATTCTGAGAAAATTTTATAAATATTTGTTGGGCATGCCCCATAAAAACACCTGGCCACAAATGCCTGGACAGCACCGACAAGCGAATATAACTGGCGATTGAGTGCACAGTTTGTTTAGACCTCGAGTAAAACATCAGCCACCAATGAACATTCTCATTTTAAAACACATTTTTACATTTATGTAAAGGTACGTAAAATAGGGAAAGTACGGCGGGTTGGAGCGTAGGATATAAGTTGGCAACTCTACTATTATATCTCCGCCGGGAGTGTCGCGTCGGGAGATACGAGAGAGCGATAGTTTATCTGCCTTTGAGCCCGCTCAGAACTCGCAACCGTCCCGAACTTCCGACTCCCGAGTGGAGTTGTGCCGCTGCAGCTGCCTCGCTGACGACGACGTCCAAACAAAAAGAGAAAAGTTTCGGAGGCAACAGACATTTGGCCGCGCCGTGCCGCGTTGTGGGTTAGTTCAGGCAGTTGGAGGTACAGGTTTTCACCGTAAAACTTCTGAAACTCATCCAGTGGTTCTAGTACTAGGAAATTGATTGGTAAGAGTATTTTGCTGAGTCCTCAGAAGGACTAACATAAGATAAATACGTGATTTCATAGACCTCACAGAAAAAATCACAAGGGGTTAAATCGGGAGAGCCAGGCGGCAACTCCAAAACGCTCCTAATTGAGGTGAGGCGCACTGGCAAGCTCAAAAAACAGCAATCGATGCTCTCGAAGTGTATGTTGCTTTATTTCATTTTCTTCAAAGAACCAGGGACCAGTTATTCCAGCTGAGGAGATTGCACACCACACTGTGAGTTTAGGCGAATCCAAAGGCCGTTGAAGCAATTCTCGAGGATTGGAGTACTGCGTGATATCTGGAATATGCTGGATAGGTCGGTTCCGAAGAGGTCATGGAGCACTGTATATGTAACGTAATTATGTGGTTACCTCGAAGTTCCCTATCTGAGAAGGCATGTAATCCAAATAAATCGAGACGATGATCATAAATGGACCTTTAGGTACCAAATGGGATGCGCGTCGCATGACGCTCAACTGCCTCTAAAAGGTGCTTATCGCGCACAAGCACTGCTTTCCATAAAGGGGCAGCAAACTCCATTATTGGTCTGACATTTGATATACGTCTTGAATAAGAAGGTACAGGTCTTAACACTTCAGCCTTTGAACGTTTTCTCCATCATTTACTTTTTGTCTGTGGACGTGATATGATGAATGTGCTCAGACCAGGTTAATTGTTCACTCACTACAACTTCCAGAAAGTACCTAATCCTGGATACAGCTTCAATAGCATGGTCAAATATCTTATACTCCAGCCGGGGGTTTGCCTTTCCCAGATGGAGGACACCTCATTTGGATATCTCACAGAGTTATATTTGTACAACTTAGTGTCGTCAGCATACACAGAGCACGCCCAAGTTAATGCATGTTTTTTCATATTACTATCACCATGCCAAGTATTGGCCTGATATGAAGTTTTCTGAACTCAAAACTCCTCAGGATTGGACTATGACATTTCTGATTCATCGTATTCTCACTCATCCACAAGTTGTCCTAATTTTTCAAGGAGTAAACTTTTTCAGAAAACATTTTCTTCATTGAGATATGACTCGATAGTACAAAAAAGATAAGTACGTTAATATTATACACCTATGCAAGGCTCAAAGTCAATCAACTAAAAACCACATTTAAGTGACATTTCTCTTATACATCGATTTTATGCAGTCTCATAAAAACATCCTTGCATTTTATTCAAATTGCCTAATTTGTATACATTCACAACTCGTACAAAAAACACCAGACAGGTTCACCATGTCTCATTATGATTACATAAACTGCAGGTAAAAAGGTAATAATTATTCAGTCAGAAGCACGTGTCAAGTGTTTTGTATCAATTTTATTATGCTTAGACCATACAATCCTCACGCCAGGTAGCTGGGTTTCTTGAATGGTTTTTATGGCTCTTATGTGTGCCTTACAGGTAAGCCCCACAACAATTATCTAGGTATTATGACTTTGTGGTCGACCTTTGTCACCCTGCAATATTATTGTCTATTTGGTAGCACCTTTCTTTATTTAGTACATAAATGGAGCGATTATGATCATTGCTGTTGTAGGCGTTTTACTTTCAGGTTTTTTAAGTATCAAGAGGCTTCAGCGAGAAAATAGGCTTTAATCGCTTTCTCCTATATAAAACATGTATTTGTAGATGATTCTCATATCCTCGCTGCAAATAACCATAAAGGGTATACTGTAGGGTGGGAAATTTTGTTTCTAATGAGCTTTTTGATGTAGGATGGTATATCGGTTGATACAAATTCCATTCTCACTACTGGGTTTTCGGAAGTAGAATACACCAAGTTTAAACTGGGACAACGTTGCCTATTTTTACATAATCTGCACAAGTTCTGAAAATTTCCACAGATTTCTGCATTTGTATATGTATGTTCTTTACTTCCCACGTCACTGGTGAGGAAGTATTGTAATCGCAAAGGATTAGAAAATGAGGTACGTTTTTTGGATGTTACATGACATGTACATCACGAGAAGCAATTTCAATGATTTCCGACTGTGTATCTGTCGGTCTGTCCATTTGTCTGCTAATTCTTGGCACCTTCTGTTCACAAAAGGTTACTACTATTCCAAGGACGGAGAAGCTTTGTGGTATTGGTAAATCGGTCGGCGGAGCTAGGGTCAAAAAAAACTAGGACAGAAATAAAAAATCGTTAAACATTAGTATCTGACGTTTAAAAGGTTCATCATGTTTAGAAAATCGTTTGTTAGATTAAAAACTTTTTTTGGGTTTGCAGAGGTGGGGCGGGTATACCACAATTTGTGTATTTTGTGTGTATTTCCAACTCTGGAAATTCAAATCACCCATACATAGTCCTGCTTCAAGCTCTGGGCGATATCTGATCGATGGGAGGCTAGACTGGCGAGTGACGAGAGGTTTGGCATAGCAACGTTGCCTGTTTGACTGACTTGATCCATTTAATTCTGTTGTTAGGTATGTTTGTAGCTAACTTTATCTCAGAAGGGCTAACTTGTGTAAAGTAAGCTTCGATGCTTAAATGCGTTTTGAGTATCATTATTGATATATTTACTAAAAATAGTCTTGACAAGTTTTATGACTACAGCCCAGAGTGCTAGCTTGAAATGGGTTATAAACATTTGGAAATACTGTCAAAGTATGATCTTCAAAAATATGAAGTAATACACAAAAACGAAGTGTGGGTGTTGTATGAAGTTTTTACATTTTTTGTTTCTAATTCTGCGATTAGTGTAGAGATTTTCAAAAAATTAAGCAGCATTACCTACGTTGACTTTACCTCAGAGATGAAAAACGTCAACAACATATAGTTATATAGTTAGACTGATAGACAGACAGACCAACGGAAATGAGAGACAGACACCAAAACGGAAATTCGAATATTTTACTTATCTAATTTTTCCTCCTAGCTTTATTTGATATATGATTTGATACATACACATTTGCATTGCCCGTTTTTTCCTTTAGCAGACGACACAATCAAATTTTTATCCATGTAAACCACTCAAACCTGAAACATTTCTCCAGATCATGAGACAAGGGGCAGATCCATCTAATCAATAAAGGTTTTATCGAGACTAACAAGAGTTTATCTCTCTACCATCATTCGTCGGTTGTCATATTTGGGATGGTTCCCCTATATTTAATTAGGATTCCTTGCCTAAAGTTTGAATCCCAGGTGATTGCGGAAGACGGATAGATACACAACCTCGTCGACTCATATTGATCTAGGCTCCACGGACTATTTTACAGCTAGAAGTGTCTCGATTTTGTCGGTATTACCTCTCAAACGTACGGTTAAACCTCTGACGATGCTCAGAAAGAATCGTATATACAAGAGAGTAGTGTCAGAAGTTATCGTCAGTGCAACATGAAGAGTGTGACAGGCGAACCGATGAACATTGCAAGAAATATGCAAGCAACTCATGTTTCTCAGCATTTCGTTTGACATGTCATATACCTACTTATCATTATTTTTTTTTGTGTACAAGCTCTTTACGTCATTAATATAGCCATTTTTTGAAGCTATTTATCCATGCTAACATAATCTAAAATCATCATTTTCATATTTTTATAATTAAATTTGGGGAGAAATAATGAAGCGATACCTAGCAACATGGTGCGTCCGAAAATTCATAAGTTGACAGTCACTTGAAAAAACTAGAAATATAACCATGTGTATGACAAATGCTGATCTATTCCACAATTTCTGTTAATTTTAGTTTATCTGGGGAATGAATTGTTGTCAATTGATTATCTTCGTTTACCATGCTCCACCGTAGACGTTTCTCGCATACAAAATGCACTTGAAAATAGATTTTTTTATAATTATGATGCGTTAAATTGTTTGCTTAGGGTGATAATGATCACAGTCATCAAGCAAATCAACTACCATTAGGATTGTTTTTTGAACTAAAATGAGAAAACTGTGACTAGATATTTGAATGAAATTTGGCATACATGTTTATCAAGAGGCATTTTTTTGTACTACATTTTTCATTTCGACCAGTGGCGTGCGTACGGAATTTCACCTGTCTGTTTTGACAGCAGTTGATTAAATGCCACTGTTTTTTCTTAAAATAAAAATATTCTTGAAATCGCCAGTTTTTGCTTAGAAAAATAAAAACCGTTTCTCTGCATGACCGTTATGATATCGTTAATATGACAATATCACCATGCAGAGGAATAAATTTTATTTCGTTAAAACTGTTCTTCAGGGTAAAAAATCAAGAGATCAAATCTGCTCACAAATGAATACAGTTTTTGTATTGCATACTTCACCACCGTGAATCTAAATAGATAAGCCCTTTTGGACATACGTTCATGTTAAGTTTACTTCTTAAATATTGAGATTCCCGTATGGTGTTGGTAGTAAAAATTCTCTACATACCTTGTTTGCAGTGTAAGGTACTGTTTATTGTATTCGATCTATAGTTGATATTTCCGGAAGTGTTCGACCCCGTATGCAATGTATCCCGTGGTGAGATGTTTCGTGTTATTTTTCTTGGGGGCCGCACCCGCGGCAGGCAGTCAGAGTTTATTTCCACGGCATCATCAGATGCGTTGGAGGTGGCGTACTTGGAAGAGATGCTTTATAATTAGATTTCCCTATCCCGGCAGCATAGCACAGCGAATGCTGCTGTAGGTATATTTATATGGCCGTGGTTTATATCCCGGAGAGATGAAATTGCTTATGCAGTGTTCTTTGTCCGAGGGGCGAATCACGTTGTGGTTCTGGTATATACAGGGTGTAATGAAACTTGGGACTATTCAGAAACAGCTACATTTGTAATAACAAAACTTTATACATAAGACATTTCGCCACAAACAAACAAAAAAAAACACGGAGGATTTGCGTGGATTCGCGAAGCCTCGGTAGCATTTCGAAGGCGCTGATCGTAAATTAGAATGTTATGGACAACTCCGATATTGTTATAAGGGTATTCCATAGAACAGATGAGTGATGGTTTTGCTTACAAATGGGCTTTAGTACTGCTTATTTTTTCAAGATCTGTAGGTCGTGTAAACGAAAGTCCCAACTTTGAGGACACACATACGGGTGTTATTGGCGCAGCTTACTCAAAATTCGAGGTTGAACTGGATTGACAGTCTTCATCTGAACTTTCAAAAGTGCAATTTACGCATATTTATTTGCCAAGCGTTACAATCAGATTTTTAGTTATACTGAAGGGCGTTGTAAAAATGAAACCTGTGAAAGTCTAGGTTTTCTTGAGATATCACTGGTTGCTTGTGGATATCCCGCTAGCTGGATTCTCAAACTGTTGCGTTGTCGTTTTTCCGACCTCTTATGTTCTAACGTATAAAAATGGCGTCAAGTAGATTGACTCTGTCCTTATCACGCAACCTTAAGTCTTAAAGGATCATGTTCGGCACAGGTTAGCGTTATTTAGCCCTTAGTTTCCACACACATGACGGTGCTGCGATCTAGAAAATTATGCAGTGCACTACCGACACTACAGACCATATTAGCGATCAGACGTCATACCACCCACACAGCGTTTTGTACACACAAATAAACGTTCGTTGCATTGACAGATATGCGATGCGCGTTGAACATTCCTTTGTCATTCCAGGGCAAATACGAGTATACGGGGAAATCTATTATGAGTGAAATATGTCCAATTGGTGCGTAGAATTACAAGAATTGGAAAAATCTCATAACGCAAAAACTTGAGATATACTCATCCCACCTCATTAACCCCCAACCTCCAATTTTTAACGCTTATGAATATTTTTCTGAAAATGAACCCTTTAATCGTCAAAAAACCAAGTGTGAGCGATACTTATTACTTTTTCTGTCTGTAGTTCTGCCTCCACTGGAGGAAGTTTCAAAAAATACAATTTATATTTTCGTATTTGGCACAGTAGTGACCTTGTGTCAAAATTTCAACAGAGTCCGACCGGTAGCTTCCAAGTTATATAAGCAGATAGCCTGATGGAATGAATGATGGTTTTGAGTGATATACATGTCATGTAATATTCAAAAGACTCATTTCCGAAAATTTTCCGGATTGGAGTATACTCATACATTTATTTTTGGAAATTTCCTTTCCATTTTTGGACATTTGGGCACGAACCCCGTCTGAGTAAAGACGGTATTGAGTTGGTCACATTACCACAGAGAAATCTTGTAGGCGTCAATCTTATGGTGGATTCATGTAAAATCTTCGACTCGGACTTGCTGTAACTGAACCGAAAACCAATAAGGTGCGTTATATTCAGTTACCTACTCATGAAAAATAAATAACTTTTAATAAGCTAAACTATCAGATCAAAGTTGAGCCAAATGACCTACATGGAACTGAAAATAAGTTCAGTCACGAGGCTGCTGATATGCAACCTCAGTTCAATGTTCTTGTCTACTGATATCAGCTGCGATTTGGGCCCAAGAGTTTGTGGAATAAAGGATAATGGGATTTGGGTCTATAAGGCTTAGGAATCGTCCCGACAATATATGATGAGAATCAAAACGCTTGTTATATGAACTTTGAAGGCGTCTCTTTTATGGGTAAATTCGAAAATATAATCTATATTTATACTGGGCCTTTCCTCTTTTCTGAAACAACTGTATTTGGAATAAGTAGGTTATTGGGCGGTAAAAAAATTAAGAACTCGCTGTTCATTTTGTCGCTTGTTGGTTATAAATACTGATGACAATCGTCGCCGTTTCGATTCAAAAACGTAAGTTTGTCCTGCCGAATCAAGGCCTCTACAATAAGTCTTCGTGCGAAATGAACAAAGTATCAGCATCAACAGCATAGACAATTAGCGTAAACTAATATCGAATCGACAAGTTCGATGTTGCTAAAGGATTGGACCATGTTTTCTAAAATTTGATTTGTAAACAAACAGTTTGGTTTCCCACTGACGCTTGTCATAACTGTATCTTTTATATCTGATATCTTGCTGGATGAAGCGTGGGTAGATATATTGTAGATTATGTGCTTCTTGGAAAAATTGCTTAATTTTACAAGAACTGTACGTTGTGGGAATGAACGTCCCATATACCTTGCATACGCCACTGGTCCCCGTCCCCAGTTGCCCATTTCCATCGCGGCGTGACACGCACACTACCACGCCTGGCGGCAGCCGGAGGGGGTCATAAGGGCGGAAGGGTGTCGAGGGGCAGGGAGGAAGGGCCTACGCGCGCGACCTAGTCGACCGGAACAACCCTCGCCCTCGCCGCCGCTTCGGCTGGTCGGGCCCACGGGCTCGCGTCCTCAGGCAGCGTATTTGATAGTATACAGCATAACGACTTTTATAAAATTACGCTGAATTTATGGACAATGAATGTTTCGATAAATCAATGAATTTAGTAAAAATCATAATTACAAAAAATAAATTAATTATGCATCAGATTATAACTTCGTAGAATGCCTTTATAATCCATCGGTCTGCTCCATTGACCTTGGGAGTCAGCTGCATTTTAGTAGGGAAGCCGATCGTAAACGCTTTGTTACATCATCGCGTACTGATATCATACGATAAAAACAAGTCACATTTTACGTATTTTGATGCTAAATCTTGCCAGGTTTGCAAAATATGTTAGATTTGCCTAGTTTTTAACATTCCAGATCAGTAACCAAAACTTTGCGACCGGCTCTTGGACTATTACTGGTTTGCAAATAAAAACAGCGCGGCGGTGTTGCCAAGCTTACATAAAACTTTCATGAAACGCTACATTTATGCCAAGCAGAATTAAGGTAAGCTCTTTATACGGTTTTTGGTGGTTACGTCAAAAAGTCATACGAAATAAATAAACATATAAGGCCTAGATTATTTGCATTCATGTCAGATAGAGCGACGATTGGTCAAATAAGCAAACAGGTTTTTAGAGAAGCTTCTCTCACGTGCAATTTATAGCTTAATTGAATGAAAAATATATTTCGTAGGTTGCAAAAGTACGATAATATTTTCACAAAATGCGTTTAGACGCCATTAGCTGTTTTGTGGGTACCATGTTTTTGGAGTAATCTTTTATCTCTCTCTGAATCTATTCATCTTATCTAACTGCCATATCTTTATATAGCTACTCTGTGACA